TTCAACAAAATTTTAAAATTGCTTTTTTTTAAAATGTTAAAATCAATTCTCCATTTCTAAAATCACTTTTTCCTCTTCTTAAAAAGACTGTCTATCTTTGGTTTAACTTTTAGAAGAGTCAAAAAGCAAAGACGTAGAATTAAAATTAATTTCGGAATGATTTTAAGGTGTCTGGTTCTTCTAAAGTAGAATTGATTCTGTATTTAAAATTGATTCTACTTAGTGTATATTTTTGGTTTGGCTTTTGGAAGAGTCAAAAGCAAATCTAGAGGTGTATAATTGATTTCAAGTGATTTTCAGATGTTTGATTCTTCTAAAGAAGAATTGATTTTGTCTTCAGAATTGATTCTACTTGAAATTAGAATTTATAACTTCTAAGATTAAACGTGATTTTTACCAATTGGATGTTCAACTCACTTTTACATAAATTTATCCAAGCATAAATCACATTATCTTCAAACTCACTTTTAGCTAGAAAAATCAATTTTTTTCACCGCATAACCAAACACAGGCATAAAGCTAGAATTTGTAGTTTTTGAGATTAAATGTGTTTTTATATTGAAGCTTACTATTCAACTCACTTTTAATCATAATTAATTAATTCACACAAAATCACTTTTAATCATAATCAATTAATTCACACAAAATCAATTATTTTCGCTAAACATACACTTATTCCTTATCTTATTACTTAACATGTAGCACAACCATATAAAAAACACTTAACATTTATTTATTTTCAACTAAAATATCATAAGAAAAATTAAAAGAAAAATTATAAATTATAAACTAACTAAGCATAATTAAATTGTTTATAAAAAAGCACTTATAAACTACAATTAGTTGATAGGAGCTTATAAACTATGGATTGTAAATTCCAAAATGAATGATCAAATAAGTAGCGAAAAACAAGAATAATAAGAGGAAAGTACCTTTTTTAGCTAATGCAGAAGAGGCGAAACCAGTTCCAGTAATAAGAAGAGAAAGAAACTGCCCTAATCCAAGACCTATTAGCGTCTTCTTCGTCCAAAATTCCTTAAAATCCATCATCGTTCTCTTTCAAAATTTCCAGAAACAACAAAAAAAAAGAATAAATTAATATGAGTTGATTAAGAGTTGGTGTGATAGAGACGAGTGACGGAGATTGAAAGGTTTAGAGCGAATGAATGAATTTATTGTTGATTGAAGAAAGTGTGTGACAGAGAAGAGAAAGTGACAGAAAAAGAAGAAAAGAATTGAGGCGAAACTAAAGAGCATAAGCATATTAGTATTGGATTATTTTGAGAGTTTGTTTCGGCCGTAAATTTTTTTATTCTTTTGAACTTAGTGATTTGGTCAACCTTTTGTTGGCTTAGGTAGGTAAGATTAGTGGGTCTATTTTTTTTTTAGTTTAAGATTTTGGTATTTATTATTTTTATTTATTATCCCATTTGTTTAAAATTTTGGCATATATGTTTATATTATTTTTGTTGAAGTATTTTATATATTTTTCCAATTTTATTTTTATTTCTTAAATTTTAAAATATTATTTAAATAGATGCTCTTAATATAAATTAAAAAAAAATTAAAGTGAACTTTTATCACTTTTAATTAAAAAAATTAATTTTATTATAAAGTATAACAAATCTATACAGAACCTCCGAAAAAATTGAGACAGTTCTGCAGTTGTTCGTTACACCCTATTTATATGATGGTGAAACTTAAACGCAACTTGCGTAATGATATTTTGTGAGAGCCTTAAATAAGGGCGATGCATAAATCCTCACCTTATGTGGCATCATCGAGACGCTACCTTCACGTGATATAAGGGGCTCACTCTTAGAATAGCACGTGTATAATATCGTTATCCCTTTGCTAGTCACGTAGACTAGTCATACCACGACTCTCTGAAAAATAGATAGTAAATAGTATCCCTAGTTAAGGAGGAGCGGTTACCACTTCTTAGAGTTTCCTAAACCCTACGCCCAAGAGGCTATATAAATATCGGACTCTTTAAGAGTATGAGACAGTTCACAATTTACCCAGGATAACGCTTATACCTAAAGTCTTTCACCTCACATGACTTGTCCTTCTCAAACCACCATAAACATCTTCAGATAGGGTTTCTCATGACCGTGAATAGGCTCTAACCACTCTCATTTATTAAGGCCTCTGAGTATCCCCTACCCGCGTAGGAATACCACACACACATGTACTTTTTGACAAGTACAGTGACACCCACAATGCGATTCCGGTAAAACTAACTTGGGTCGCACCTTCTTTTACAATCGTCATATTCACTATCACGCCTGCTCCTGTAACTAGGCGTTCTCTATCATGGTTAATAAGATAGCAACTTCCCTTATGCCAGAGAACACTAGGGGAAGCAGTGATATCAATGTCATGGAGGAGATGTCTGCTGCCAAGGGTGAACTACACCGTTAGAATCAAAGTCTAGGGGTCTGTCTTGGAGTTTGGAGGGGAGAAAATGGGGGCTTTAAAAAAAGGGAATGATTCAATGGAAAAAAATTGAAGGATTTTGGTTGGGAGAGTTTTGGAGGATTCATTTTTATTCATAACACCAAAAAACCCCTAATTTGGAGGATTTTAAATTTTGTATTGAATGATGGTTTTGGAGGGTTTTAGAGGGCTTACATAAATTTCCAAATATGTTTTATGTTGTTATGGTATTGTGAAATTTAAAAATATAGTAATGATAAACATTGTTTTATCATTCTATACAAAAATCATTCTTTCAAAAAATGTCAAATATTTTCCTTTTTTAAAAAAATCGTTTTTGGAAGTCTTCCCCTTCCCTCCCTTCTAACCTCCCAACAAATCCTAGAGGACAACATCCTCAATATCCGACAGCGCCAGTAAGAGACCAATCCCTCAGAGGGTATGGAAGTACTGGATCCTCAACCACTTTCATACGAAATATGGGAAGTCGTGTTACTGAGGGATTCAAGCCTCCCTCTTTAGCTAAGTTTGATGGGGGCATTAACCCTTATGAACACGTCGTCTCCATTAATAAACATATGGCCATCATCAGAATGTCTAACTCCTTGAAGTGCAAACTATTATATGTAACTTTCAGAGACACAGTCTTGTGATGGTATATGGGTCTGCCTCAAGATTCCATCGCCAACTATCAGGAGCTAGTGAATGAAACTCGTGTACCAATTTAATATCATTCGTCACAGCAAGATGTCTATCACCAGTCTATTCAACATATGACAGGGTCCTCAGAATGGTTGAATGACTACTTCTCCCAGTTCAATAAAGCTACCATTAGGGTCGTCCCCTCAAACCAAGAAATGTTTGTGGGGACACTTCAACAAGTCTCTCGCCCAAAAATTAACACTTTTGTTAGTAGAAGTGGTCACCAGGGCAAAATGTTACATAAAAGGCAAGAAGAGTGACACGGAGAAGAATATGCAAGACGTCAGAGAGCGCATTCTTAACACTGACAGTTTGCACCACCAAAGGAAGAGTAACTATACATCTCCCATAAAAGACAAAATTGCATTTAAAAGACTAGGTAATATGAGAGAGAGCTTCACGCCTCTGAACACTCACTATGAACAAAATCTGGCGTGAGGTTCTTCACCTACACAACATCCTTACGCCTCTAGTTCCGAAAGCAGGCGTGATATGTCCCAAACTATGTAGATGGTGCAAGTTCCATAAAGTTAAAGCACATCACACTGAAGAGTGTTACCAACTCAAGAAGGAGATCGAGTGTCTGATTCAAGAGGGACGCCTCAAGAAGTGTGTCTAAGGTGACTCTTCTCGTGGGTCAGACAAATTTGGCTCCCAAGGTTGAGATAATGACGAGAGACCTATGCCCAATAGGGAAAAAGAAGCATCCACGAGCAAAGACAATAAAGTTGTGCACCACACGCTCAACATTATCGCATGAAGATTTGTCGGAGGTAGTGAGACTAGCTCAGCCCGTAGAAGATATGCTCGTCAGGTACTAAATATAGAAGACCTCTCTAATGAGGTAGGCATGGGCGAGATGAAGACGCCAAAAACCGAAATCGTCTTCTCCGAGAATGACGCATTTGACATTCACCCTCATAATGACTACCATGTGGTCATTGTTGTTAGGTGTGATGAAGGGAGATCAAAAGAGTTTTCATAGATTTAGGAATTTCTATAAATATCCTATATTGGGATGCGTTCGAGAAGCTCTTTCTATACCCATATGACCTAAAGTCTTTCGAGGGCTCTCTAGTTGAATTCTCCAATCAGCAGGTGCAAGTGAAAGAACTTAGTGTCTAACTCTTAGCGTCAACTTAAAAATTATCATTGAAGCATGAAATTCTCGTGATTTTTAAAAATCTCAAATTTTCAATTTTTTCTCTTAAAAGAAGGAGAAACTCAAATTTGAGACTGTAGTAACAATTTGTCATATCATATTTTTAGTAGTATTTAAAATAAAAAACACTTTTAATTTTGATTCATTCTTATTTTATTATTAACCCTCGACTAAAAATTATTCACACTCAATGAAATTGCATAGTGCAATATCATACTACGATTAAACTATTAAACTGCATTTGAAAACATCCAACAACGTTGCAATAAGATACAATAAAGATCCAATCATTCCTCAAAATTGTGTCTAACATGCAATGTCATGTAATTGTTGCAACATTGATGAAGACGTTGCTCATGTTTTGCAATTTCCAACCCTAAGAAAATTTTATTATACACACAAGAAGCATCAATATGTTAAGTAGCACAGATTCGTCTGAAAAATGTGTTTGTGTCAGGATTGGACGCCTTTACTAATATTTGTTACTAGTTTAATTTATTTATTTTTTAAAATTATGACTGATATCATCATATCAGTGTTAAAATTGTGTTTGACGTGTCTGTACTTCATAGCTAATATCTAAAAATAAAATAAAAAAGAGAATACGATGAAGATATTTTTGTAATGAATTGAATTCTATATAGCCAATGTTTGTACAAAGACTAACCAAAACTTAACTATCCAAATCAAAATTAGTTTAATACTTTGTATTGTTGAAAACCATAATCATTTTTGTGTGAGAAGATCCATTGTCATCACCATCAACTTCTAGTATTGTTCCTTCCCATCTCATTCTATCTGTTATTTCTTTTACTTTTAGAATTACATCTTTATCATCTCTAATAATAACACTTCCTTCTGGTCTAACAATCCTATGCATCTCAATAACAATATCACTAATGTCACACCTACAAAAAAAAATCATTCATTTTGTTATATATACTTTTTAAATTTTAGTACTATTGAGTGGTAGATAAACCATCATTAATAATAATAAATAAATAAATAAAAATGCTCAAATGGTACAAAATCATATGTATTATAAGCTTACTTGTTCATATACATACTGAATATGCCAGAAGCATGTATTAAGTCATATGTTCTTGGATAAGTTGAAAAAGGCTCACACCTGCAAAAATAAAATAAAATTATTTCCTTCATTATTTTTGTATAAAAATTAATTATTTGTTATATAAGATGTAAAAGCTATTTAATTAATTTCAAATAAATGGACTCTTTAATTTGTGTCAGAAGTGTTTCTGATTTAAATCAAATAAGTACAATCTTGCCATTATAAATTTTGTGAATGGTAAAATATATTCTAATGACATGATTTAATGCACTATTAGAATAAGTACATGTGTAAACATTTAATGTCAAACACATGTCTCAAGTCAGAAACATATAAAAAAGAATATATTAATTTTATTTATTTATTTTAGTTTATCTCCTAACATAAAAAGATGATTTAAGAAAGTTTACAAAAATAATTTATAACATGTCTTTGAACTTTAGTCCATTTCTGCAATTGCACATAGAAGATATCCGATTTATATAAAAAAATCGAATCTTTAGACTGTAATTCGAAAGTTAGTCCGTCTATACAGTTGCGCATAGAAAAGTAAAAATGAAAAGTTGTGAATACATACCAATCCATGTAAGTTCCAATAAGTCCTCTTTGATAGATAACAGCAAGATAATCAGTTTTTGCATCAAATGGAACAACATTCATAACCCAAACTGGATATTTGACCATTGCAGCTGCAAATCCACCAAATCCACCATTCATGTCCATTACATTTCTATATCTACCAGAAGACAATGATTTCAACATCACTTCATAATTAGATACTCTCTTTCTCCATATCCTATTATCTTCACTATACATTCTTTCAAGTGTTGCACCTTCATTTCTTAACCTTGGTGGTGCAACATTCAATCTCATAGGCCATTTTTCAAGAGCGCCGCCGGAGATTTCGTCGAGATTTTTCACTTGTTGAAGAGGAAAAATGCATGCTGTCATTTCTGTATACCTGTTGAATAGTTCATAGTAACTTTTGTAGTTTGAATGTGAAACATTGGAAAATCATTATCTAGAAAATATTACAATTTTGTCCCTTAAATAGTCCTTTTGAGGAACTAAAATGATAAATAAAGAAACTTACCATCCATCATCAGGGTCAGATGAATTACAAAACTTTGTTGAGTTCAAATTCTGTTTGCATTTGATATGATTTATAGGTTTTTGCCATATAGCAAATTGTCCTCCCTCAACAACTTTTTCCCAACACATTTGAATTGCAAGTTCCTCTAAACTCTTCTGTTGTTCTTCCAACACTGTTGCCTCTGTCTTCCATGCTTTATAGTTTACTCTCCAATTTATTGGTGGACCAGAAAGTACCCAAAATCCACCAGGTCTCAAAATCCTGTCAATCTCTTTTAGGTATAGTCCATCTTAAACAATATCACATTGTGAACGTGTCATGTTAGTATCGTGTCTAATATATGTGTCAGAGCTTTTAATAGTTAGAAAACGTCAACAGTGAAATACGGAGTACTTGAACATGTGTTTGGTGTGTGACACTGATCTATATTAACATGTCAGTTTCGTCTGATATTTGTGTCTGTGTCAGTTCTTTTGATAGTTTCCAACTCTAAAATATGTAACATTTACACTTCAAATTGAATGTGTGTTTGATGTCTGACACTTATATGATATTGGTACACGTGCCTTATAGTTAAGTGTTATCTAAGTAACAAAAAAAAAAAGATAGAAATGTTACCATAAGCAGTCCATTGGACAAGGCATCTAGAGCAATGAGCCATATCAAATGAATTTGAAGGGAATGTCAGCCTATGAGTGCTGAATACTCCAAGCATAGCAGGAAGTCCTCTTTCAAGTGCAAACATCACTTGAGCCTCATGTTCATCACTTGGTGCTATTGACATTGTTAATATATCATACTCCATTAAAGATGCTCCAAAGCTTGCAACCTTCAAATCACAAATTCATTATACTAATTCAAAATACAAAACATAAGAATCCGGTTCAACTGAGAACTATAAAGTATAGTCGCATCAGTCTGTATCAAATACAGACTGATGCGACTATACTTCTAAAACTGAGAGATATAATATAACTAAACAAAACCTACAAGCTTACCCCACATCCAACATCAAGAACAGTTCTAATCCATCCAGAATCCAAACTCACAGGAAGAAGCTTCTTCAAATCATCAACATAACCCTCAACACCATCAGGAAAAGAAGTACCACCACCAGGGAACACAAACCTATCACCCTCCAATCTAATCCAATTTTGCAACCTTTTATATTCCACAAGCTTAGTAAAAGGAACATTACTAAACCATGCATTGTCCTTACTCTTAGGCCAATGAAATGGTTTTTGATACCCTTTTGGTTTAGGGATAAGACACTTTAATCTCTCATTTGATTTTGGACAGTGACGTTCTTTCCTAAACCATTTTTTGTTGGGAAATTTTTTCTGTCTTTTGGGGTCTTCACATGGACAATAGTTTGTGAAGTTTGTTGGACAAAATTCAAAGTGGGAATTTATTGCGAGAGATTTTGAGGTTTGAAGAGATGGTGAAGAGAATGAAGAAGTGATTATGTATAAGAAAGTGAAGAGAGATGTGATGAAGATGATGATGTTGAGAATTGAGAGATATTTTGAAGACATGTTGATAATGAAATAGTGTTTGTGTTGTGTTGTGTCTATCTATCTATGAAACCTCTTTTTATGTTTTTGTTTCTGTTTTTTTGTGTGAGTGAGTGAAGTGAAGATTCTTTCTTAGAGAGAGAGAGAGAGAGAGAGAGAGAGAGAGAGAGAGAGAGAGAGAGAGAGAGAGAGAGAGAGAGAGAGAGAGAGAGAGAGAGAGAGAGAGAGAGAGAGAGAGAGAGAGAGAGAGAGAGAGAGAGAATTATTGGTTATAGGGAATATAAAATTTGTGGTTGGCATTTGATTAAGTAAAGTCAGATGCTATGTTTAGGGGCAATTTCATGTAATTACAAATAAAAGTATTGTACTAATTAGTTGTTTAAAAAGGAAATATATGTATTTTTTTAAAATAAAAACAAAATCTTTAGAAAAGTGAGTATTAGAAGGAATTGAAAGCCTATTCCTAACCATTGTTTAAATATATATTATTAATAATTTGTTATTAAGAAAAGTGAGTATTATTAAATATTGATGTATTTTGAGTTAGAAAAAACAAGTACTCCATATTTTACAAATAAGAGTTTGCACATGGTCAAGTAGTCCAAAATTCTGATGAACAATTAATGTTTAGATTGTCAGCCTAATTTTCTTAATGTAGGACTGTGCATGTAATCATTTAATATCTTTGGTTTGTTTAAAAAAGGAAAATGGTAAATGAAAAACTAAAATTTTAATTTATTTTTATACATAAATCATTTAATAGCTTTAATAACTTCAAATATGTTACTATTTTCTTTATTTTTCTACAATATTTGTTGAGAGGTTGATTGTTTTTATATAAATAAGAAAGAAATGCATTAATGCGCATATAAGAGATATTCAAATGTAAAGGGATCAAGAGACATATATATTTTACTTCAATATAACTCATTTTTATTTTTTGTTTGAGTTAAGTTATAAATCATTACAACTGTTTGTTTTTATATTCAGTTTTGATTGACCTGCAATAGCAGGTTTTGAACGGTGCTTAGATGAGTATGGATTTGGATCCTCTCTTTTTTTATATATCATGTCATCTCTCATGTTTCTAATATAACGGTTCAGAATTTCTAATAAATAATTAAATAAAAAAATCATTTAATAGGAGAGAGAAATGAATAAGTACTTTGTCTTTGTTTTTTTATTTAATTATTCATTATAAATTCTGAACCGCTAGATTAGAAACATGAGAGATGGCATGATATATAAAAAATGAGAGGATCCAAATCCGATGAGTATATACTAGTTACATACTCTAATACCCCCTACTCCACCCACACACAAACTCGAGGGAAGGAAGTAACCTTGAGTTTACGCCTTAATTCTAGAAATCTAGTGGAGGGGAGAGGCTTGGTGAGAGCATCAGCTCATTGGGCCAAGAATATGGGTAATTTGAAGTTGTTTGACCAACATCTTCTTCTTGACAAAAAATATATCAATCTCCATATGTTTAGTTCTTGAGTGAAGAATAGGGCTATGAGCCAACATAACATCAGATTGGTTATCACATAGGAGATAAACAGTTCCTTGAGTTGATTTTGTAACCATAACAAATCAGTTGTTGCTTGAGCAGGACTTTTATACTTGCTTCAGTGTTAGACCTAGAAACTACGGGTTGTTTCTTGGACCAACAGGAAATGATATTACTCTCAAAGTAGATAGCAGTTCCTAAAGTACTCCTTCTATCATTTGGGTCAGCAGCCTAGTTAGCATCAAAATAGACATGAAGTGAGGGAAGAACAACAGGAGACAGAGGAGATATATAAGCCATGACCCATAATGCCTTTGAGGTACTTAAGAATTCTCTTGACTGCCACCCAATGAGTTTCCAAGGGATGAGACATAAACTGGTAGACCTTGTTGATAGAGTATGCAATGTCTGGCCTGGTTAGAGTTAAATTACAATGAAACCATTACTAATTTATACAGGGAGGGATCAAAAACTGTTGCAGACCCAGTTTTTAGTTAACTTGCAGGTGGATTACATGGGTGTCTAGACAGGACATACCTCCAACATGTTGGTTTTCAACATAAGTCATTGATATACTTGGACTAAGTGAGCAAAAGGGAATCTTGAGCAACCTTCTTTACTTCAATGCCCAAGTAATAATCAAGGTCACCAATTTGTTTAAGTGAAAAGGTAACATTCAGCTTGGAAATAACAGTTCGAAAGAGAGAAGGAGAATCCCTTATGATAGTGATATCATCCACATATGTGAGAAATTATATGGTGTGTTCTTCAAGAAAGTAGGTGAATAAAGAGGGATGACACTTGCTGGGTTTGAACTTGAGCTAGACAAAAGTGGTTTTAAGTCTTTCAAACCATTGCTTAGGTGCTTGTTTTAGACCATAAAGAGCCTTATTAAGTTTGCAAATCAATAAGGGATTGCCACTCTCAAAGCCTTTTGGTTGGTCCATATAAACTTCTTTTTGAAGTAGGCCATTGAGGAAGGAATTGTTCACATTTAATGGCTAAATTTGCCATTTGTGTGTGAGAGCAATAGAGAAAATGAGTCTAATTGTGATAGGTTTGACCACATGAGAAAAAGTTCAAGTAAAGTCAAACCCATACCTTTGATGAAAGTCTTTAGCAACTAATCTATCCTTGTAGCTATTGACTAAGCCATATGGGTTCTCCTTAACCTTAAATACCCATTTGCAACCAATAACACGTCTTTGAGGAGGTAAGGGAACAAGTGTCCATGTATTATTGGTGATTAGAGTATTGTATTCCTCTTGCATAACTATTTTCTAGTTTACATCAGCTAGAGCAGATTTAACAATCTTGGGTTCAGTGGTAACCAAGAGAAGTCTTGGCTCAAGTCTAGGCTAAGCAAAGCCAGACTTGGCTTGAGTTTGCATATGATGAAGGTTGTTAGTTTGAAGTACATGAATTCTTTGGGAGGAATAATAGAGGTTGCAAGGGAAGTATCATAGGTAGTAGATGAACTAGATTGGGAGGTAGATGGGGAGTTTTCTGAGTTAGCAATTGGAGGTAGATGAGGAATAATAGAGGTTGCTTGCATAATAAGTTTCAAGGCATGATAATTATGGTGACCTAACCTTAAACGCCACTTATTGGATGTACTATAATTGAAAGTAAGAGCATTAACACTAGAATCAATTTGCTTATTCAATACTAGGCTAGGTGAAATAAGAGACAACTTGGATGAACCAGATAGAGTAATGAAGGGGAACTCATATAAGCCATCCTTGTCAACACTACCTTAAAGTAAGGTAGCCTTAAAAACCTCTGATTGCACAAGACATTTGTCAGCAGTAAAAAGGAATTAGACATTGTTATGTCTACAAAACTGAATGACACTAATCAAATTCTTGGTAATAGTGGGAATAAGTAAAAGATTGTTAAGTGTGAGGGGTGTGTAAGGTATAATTGGTAAAGAAAAGTAACTTGAGCCAAAGGACTGGATGTGAAAACCTTGGCCCTTCCCCATGAAAATTTGATTAGGAACTTCAAAGAGAGATGGTTGTTGAATATTTTTGGCATCATTGGTGACATGAAAAGAAGCACCAAAATAAGGAAACCATGAGGCTGAAGACGAAGGTGCTGAATTTGCAACAAAGGCACTTGGTGCATGGGAGAAATTGGTACCACTTCTTGGCTGCATGGGGGTCTTGTCAAGAAATTATGAGGAAAATTGTTGTAGCAGCGCAAATTTAAATGGAAGACCTTCAGATACAGCATGTTTTTTCCTCACTCACATGCTTTATGGGGAACTTCCCAGAAGGTCACCCATCCCTAAATTGCTCCAAGTCAAGCACGCTTAACTATGGAGTTCCTATAAATGGGCTACTGTTAAGTGCAAATTTTACCTATTTTTGTATATAAGTTTTGTTGCACTTAACGTTACTTTATGTTAAAATCATTCGAATAAACCCCGCTTTGTTTATAAATGCGTTTACTTTACGTTATAGTGTATATATTATGTTTTCCTGTAAATATCATTGAGTTTAATTGAATTTCGTTCAATTTTGTAGGTAATAAATCATTGATGTTAGAGCATTGTTAGATAGAGCATTGAATAAGCTTTCCAACGCTTCGAACCGGGCGAAAAACGGAGTTACGATTAAAAAGTTATGGTCGGAACAAGTTGGTTTGCTGTCATGTTCGCCAAAGTTCGCCAGGAGAATGTTCGCCAGGCGAACCGAAAGTTCAAAAACGCGTGAAAAACACTGTTTTTACAGAAGCAAAAGTTGTATATGTTCGCCAGGCGAACGGGACTTCGCCAGGCGAATACTGGGACCCATTTTTGTCTATTTAAGTGATTTTTCAGCATTTTTTAGGGGATGTTGTTTGGGAACTTTTTACCCCAACTTCATCAAACACATTCTTGAGTAGATTTAGCTTAGAAACAACATTGGAGGGTGCATCTTGACGATCCGGAGTCGAATCCACTTCAATCGGAGTTGACAAACCGTGAGATTTGTGTTCTTCTTCTTTCCTCTCTATGTATTTTTCATTTGTTGGGGTTTTGTATGTAAGTTTATCTTGATTGTATGTATATTTATGGATCTTTGTATAAAATCTATTTTACAACTCTTTATCGATGGTTATCTTGATTTTTTACTTAATGGGTTTGGATTGCTATAGACATATATTGTTCGAACTCGATCTAAGATGAACATCTATTAGATTCTAAATGCTAGAGATAGATTTAGGACTAATATTCACGTGGGTATCGATTCTTAATGCTCCGTGTTGTCGAGTTGTATGAGAGATCAACAATGAGACGATACGGTTGATCTCTCGACTTTGTGTTAGAGATAAACTCTGTTGCGAGCGATACGTGATGATATTGACGAGCGAATTAGGTTGCGTGCATTTGATCCATATATTTTTTAGTACATGATAGGTAGAACGAAATACAACTCCTGACGAGTTTTCTCATTTCTTAAGAATGTACTTATTTTCTTGTTTTATGTTTGTTTTTCCTTTTGAATTTTTATCCCAAACCATTCAA